GGGGCGGTGTGAGGGGAGACCTGGTGAGCGGGAGAGAGTGACCTTGGAAAGCTGGGGTTTGAGTTAATGTCACAGAGTGGCTGGGGGTGGAGGGGACCTTAAAGCCCCCCCAGGGCCACCCCCTGCCCGGGGGTTGACATCTCCCGCCAGAGCAGGTTGCTCCAAGCTCCATCAGTATTTTCCACACGTATTTTCTGTGTGAAAAAAATGGCAGTGATGTGTTCTGTCAGCACTGACCTGCGAACGGAGGGAACGCCCGACACTGGAGGGCTGTCTGGTCTGGCAGATACAGACGTTAGAAGGGCCTCTGGCTGGAAATGAAAATTTAACATCTTCTGGCAGAATATGGAATTTGCGTTTTGAAGAAGGAATAATCCCTGTAATGGATTACAGAGCTGTGATAGCATTCTCCAACGCTCAAACTCTTTAAACCAAAGAAAAGAAGTGGGACTTCCCATGTTCCAGTTTGTGCCCGTTCCCTCTTGTCCTGTCCCTGGGCACCACTGAAAAAAGACTGGCCCCATCCTCCTGACACCCACCCTTTCAGTATTTATAGGCGTTGATCAGTTTCCCCCTCAGTCTTCTCTTCTCCTAAGAAGCCCCAAGTCCCTCAGCCTTTCCTCACCAGAGAAATGTTCTAGTCCCCTCGTCATTGTAGCCCTCTGCTGTCCCCTCTCCAGCAATTCCCTGACCTTCTGGAACTGGGGAGCCCAGAACTTTACCCAGTGCTCCAGATGGGTCACACTCTTCCTGATGCCCCCCAGGATGCCATTGGCCTTCTTCGCCACCAGGGCACATTGCTCGTTCATGGTCATCCTCTTGTCCACCAGGACTCCCAGGTCTTTTTCCTCAGAGCTGCTCTCCAGCAGGTCAGCATTTGAACCAGTAAGTGCTGTCATTCTAATGACGAGCCCCAGGCAAGCTTAGCAGAAACACCACCTTCTCAGAGACCTCTGTGTCACAGTTACTAGATCACGTGAACTGTTGGGACGTAAACGTTTTATAGTTAATCATTCTACCACACTTCAGAAATTATATTTTTCAAACTGATAATTTTTTGTAGCCACAAAGTGGCTGCACAACAGATGATGTGATCACTGTGCATAACAACTGTGGTTATCTTTGCTTTATGCTGTCAGTGAAGTCAAACATTTTATAAAAATGATTCTAAATTCAAATTTTTGAGGTTGGTTTTTCTTTCTTTCTTTTTTTTTTTTTTTAAGGCCACCAAGGTGAGTGTGGAATTCTAGGAGGTGGACTGTCAGAAAGTAAAGTAAGTCTGGTTTCATCCTTGCTCTGTTTTCCTACAATTGTAAGTAATAATTTACTTTAATGCGGAACATTTCTAAGGCCAGTATTACCTGTGTTCCTAAGTGACACAAAAAAGCTGTCATTTGAATTCTCTCACAGCCCAGAACCATCAGGTACTGGGGCTCCCAGTCTGGGGGTCTAAAAAAGAGTAGTAGTAGCTGTGTCCTGATTAAATGCTGAAGAAGGCACCCGGTATGAAATCCCATCATTATGCATTATCACATAGATACAGCAGAGGGCAGGATTTAGATAACATAAATATCTTCACAGCTCACATAAATTGAATTCAGCAACTAAATGATCCTTTTGATACATTTATTGCAGTCTGATTTTAAAAAGGCGTATAAACATGGCTTTACTTACACAGTGTAGGAATAGCAATGGCACTGACCTAAGATATATTTAGTATTAGGAACAGTGGCTTTTAAAACCTGTTTAAAATATTTGCTCCAAATTGCACCCATCAGCGCTGTCTCCTAGCCAGAAAAAAAAATCTATCGTTCTTTACAGTGACTGTTGAGGAAAGGGCATATGGGGGGGAAAGGTAAATTTAGGGCAGTTATTTTTGATTAATATCATCGACCAAACTGATCCACAGTGTAAGTCCTTTGACATGTTACATTCATGTACTATAGAATAGTCACCTTCTTTCATACTTCTATAGATCTGTATCACATTTGCATCTGGTTGTGGCTTTCCAGGCTACAGAATCATAATTTACTTTGTCTTCGTACAGAGGCTCTTACCTTTGTCAGTTCTCTCTTTCTTTCTATTTCTTCTTTACTATTTTTGAGTTCCAGTAACGAGAATGGGAGGAAATATTCAAGGAGAATAGGTGTCGTACCAGGAAAGAAAGCTGATACATGATTTCTTTCCAGTAGAAGAGGTGACTGAACATGAATGCAGGAACTAAAGGCTTTTTAACTCGAAATTCAACAGCAACATAAGATGAGTTTTACAGATAAAACTTTGTATTACAAGGAAAGGCTGGGGGACTTGGGGCTTCTTAGTCAGGAGAAGAGAAGACTGAGGGGGAATCTGATCAACGCCTATAAATACTTAAAGGGAAGGTGTCAGGAGGATGGGGCCAGTCTTTTTTCAGTGGTGCCCAGGGACAGGACAAGAGGGAACGGGCACAAACTGGAACATAAGAAGTTCCATCTCAACATGAGGAGGAACTTCCTCACTTTGAGGGTGGCAGAGCCCTGGCAGAGGCTGCCCAGGGAGGTGGTGGAGTCTCCTTCTCTGGAGACATTCAAACCCCACCTGGACATGTTCCTGCTCTGAGTGACCCTGCTCTGGCAGGGAGTTGGACGAGATGGTCTCCAGAGGTCCCTTCCAACCCCCTGTGATTCTGTGATTTTGCATTGTGGAGAAGAGCTTTAGTATGGTCATGTAATGAGTGCCTCTAGACAGATTCAATAGTCCTGGGAGCTGTATGTACTGAGCATCTGGTTCAGAGCATGTGGTTCAGAAGAGGCATTGAAACACTGCTACACTCAACAGCTTAGAAGTATCACAGAATCCCATGTGAAGCCTGGGCACTGACCTTCTGCTGGGCATCTGCACACAACTCCCTCAAGAAGTGTTGAAACACTGCTACACTCAACAGCTTAGAAAGAAGTATCACATGTGAAGCCTGGGCACTGACCTTGTGCTGGGCATCTGCACACAACTTCCTCAAGATGCCTCATGACACTTCCCATTGACATATTTCCTCTCGCCCTGATTTTTTCCTTAACTCTATGACAATACAATTTGACTCTGCCATTAGATAGAGCAAATATAATTTGCATGCTACTTAAATGACAGCCCCCTTTTATGTGTCCTGGCTGTGTCTGACCATTCAGAGGATTTAAAGAGCAGAAGGAATTTCTGAGAAAAACAGCTGAGGATTTTTATTTTTTTTTAATAAGTTGTCTTTTATTATTGTAATTGCTAATGCAATGACCACCCTTGAGACGTGCTCGTGATCCTGGCAGACTCACAAATCCCTGGGTGAGAATTCAGCTCTAGCCCACAAATGATAAGGTACGGTTCTCACACCTCTGATCTGCAAGGTTAACGTGGACAAGCTGAAGAGGTGTGGCTGGCAAAGTGATGGGTAAAGATGCAAGTTGTCTAGAAGGGAGTTTTTAATGTAAAAGTTCAGTTATTTAGAATGAGAAAACCCTCGTGCTGCCAGGCTGACACTGTCCCTTTAATGAAATGGCTTGGGTCTCCTGGCTTCCTGCCTGACAATCTTCATTTAAGCTTTGGCCAACTAAGCAGCAATAATGGACCATAAATGATCTAGACACAAGATAGAGCCCTTTAGGAGTGGGAAGGCTATTTATTTACAGATTGCTTTATTTTTGTAAACAAAACATATTTCCCATTATGACCTACTGGACCTGTTTTCTACATTGCTTTATTTTTGTAAACAAAACATATTTCCCTTTTATGACCTACTGGACCTGTGTTCTACTCTGACAGCTTATTCAACCCACAGTTTGCTTTTTGAATGCCTTCAAAGGTAAGAAACTTGGTTATTTCCTTTCTATTTTTAGAGGGCTGCACTGATGGTTTCTGTGTATGTAACTGCTTGATGGAGATGAAAATAGGATTCAGGAATGATATTTAATATTTTATCTTTGTTATGAATGATATTTAAAATGAATTATTGTAAGTTACAGGCATTTTTTGTAAATCACTTTTAACAGGGAAAAGTTTTCTCTAGAAAGATGTTGAATCCCTGATTTAAATGTTGCAATGTTCATTTGATTAGTGTATGTTGTGACTAGAATAGAATATTGTCTTTATGGAAAATATGGTACACATTCTGTTACAGCCATGTAATGTTAATAATACATTCATGTATTGAATTTCATTACTAAGCCATTGTTTCTTAGAATAAGTTGTTCATACTGATGCTCCAGACCTAGGTAATACATCTGCATCCCAAAACACTCAGGTCTTTGTTTATTCCTAACAATTAGGGATTACTAGAAACAACCATGGTCTTTGTCTTCTAGACTATTTCTGCTAATTTAATATAATTAGTTTAATAGCAAAGTATGTTAATAGCAATTTGCATTGGTAATAATTTCTTTTGCCCTTCTTTATGTTCAAGTGAAAGCTAAAGATAGCACTGGATTTTTTTAAGAAAGCAAAGGGAGCTCTGTGTTCTACCCTTATTTCTTCTCTAATAAAACAGTGTCTAATAAACATGAGCTGCAGTTGGGATTGTAACTGCTGCTGTGCTTAAATCACCTGCCCATTGACTTTTTATAATCTTTTTTTTATACGTTGTCTCTAGAATTGTGCTTCCCACAGGTGTGTATTCTGTATGTAAAGTACCTGTATTTATTTATTTATTTGCATCTCTTAATGAAATATCAACAGGTGTTTTTTTTACTTTTAACAGGAAGGAAAAGCCTAATTTGGGCTCAAAGTCAATATGTGGAAAAATATTTTCTTTTGCTTTTTACTTCTGGCTGTGACAACAAACCAGATGGTACTTGGGCAAAACAGAAAGAAAGGCAGAAATTCTTACTCCCTTGTGCAAAATGATGAAGGTAAAACCATTTTCTTAACATTTCTGATTGACCATGTTGTACATCTCTGCATATTTCAGGATAATTAGCTAGAAATCAACAATGTATATATGCATTTATAAGATGTGATTTGTTTTATCAGGCCTGGAAAATGCTATGGTGATATTTTCTTGCTTGTGGACTCCAGTTTGGTATATAGTTTTCACTGACACCCATATCTCTTTTAAAATAAAAGATAAGGAGCCCAGTTTTTTCTTTGCAATTGCATGTGGAAAATTTTATATACAAAACCAACTAAAATGCTAAAACAATCCCATCAAGACCCTAATTTGAATTTTTTTATCTATAGACTGTATTCAATACTGGTATGAATTGAATTAAAGTACCTTAAATTTATTTCCTTGACTTACGTAGAATTTCTTGGCATTTAGAGTGAAATTTATCCTTAGAATTTTTACTGGGAAGGTGGAGGAATCCTCGGGGAAATGCTTTGAGGAGTGGAGTTGTCGCAGAGAAGTGTCTGAAATCTGCTGTGCAGGAGTGCCCATCATTCATGGGTTTAACTCTTGTTCTGTTACAGGTGATACGTGTCTCATTGATACACTGTTTATCTTGGACAGCTCAGAAAGTGCCAAAAATCAGTTGTTTGACTTACAGAAGAATTTTGTTCAAAATTTAAGTGAAAGCATTTTCCAGATGAAGCCAGTTAAGTCTCAGAAGTATAATGTCAGACTAGCGAGTATGCAGTTCAGCAGCACAGTCAGAATTGACCAGCCCTTCACAGCCTGGAAAAACCTGCAGAATTTTAAAGAGAAAATCATGTCTCTGGGCTTTATTGGCCACGGCACCTACTCCTACTACGCGCTTTCCAACGCCACTCAGCTGTTTAAAACAGAAGGTCGTAAGAGAAGCGTGAAAGTGATTTTTTTGATGACGGATGGTGTGGATCATCCCAACAGCCCTCATGTCCAGGGTATAGCCACAGCAGCCAGGAGTCTCGGCATACATTTTTTTACTATTGGCCTTACTAAGAAGAAAGTCCAAGACGAAAAGCTGCGGATGATATCTGGTGATTCATCTTCTAAACGCGTCTTGTGCCTGGATGATCAGAACCTGATTGTTGATGTAGCATTGGAATTGGTGAGTAACACTGATGTTAATCTTGTCACCCATCTAGCTTGTCACTCATCTCACTTCAATAGGTGAGCCCTGAAGGCAGGGCAGAGGTTTGGCCTCAGGTTTGGAAGTTCAGGAGGTTTGTAAAGACCGTGTAGGGCATCTGCACAAGTTGGACTCCAGCGTTGGTAGCAGAGAAGAACAGTAACTATGGGCTTGAGGATTAACTTCAAGAAAGTCTGCTGAAGCCAACAGATATTTTTGGGATCAGGTTTCTAAAGTAGTGTAAATCTTCCACTATAGTTCTTAATTCAGGGCGCGTGGATATGTAACACTGATGTTAATCTTGTCACCCATCTGTCCCCAGGAAATTTCATCTCACTTCAATAGGTGAGTCCTGAAGGCAGGGCAGAGGTTTGGCCTCAGGTTTGGAAGTTCGGGAGGTTTGTAAAGACCGTGTAGGGCATCTGCACAAGTTGGACTCCAGCGTTGGTAGCAGAGAAGAACAGTAACTATGGGCTTGAGGATTAACTTCAAGAAAGTCTGCTGAAGCCAACAGATATTTTTGGGATCAGGTTTCTAAAGTAGTGTAAATCTTCCACTATAGTTCTTAATTCAGGGCGCGTGGATATCTCCCCTTCTAGTGCAACATAAGGCACACATAAGAAAAGGGAAGGAATAGTAATGAATTCATTTCTTACTTTCGAGTAGACAAAAGTGTTGCTGCGATAGAGGTGTCAGCTGGACTTCACCTTTCTCTCTTCTGAGCAACAATGTGTGAAGCGTTGGAGTGGCCTAGGAAGCGTTTGGGATTTAAAATCCTAGACAATATTTTTTAAGACAAGACTTAGCAAATAAGAAATTAAGACAATTTGGAGAAAAATAGTTCTTAGAAAACACAATAGCTTTAATTAGGGAGTAGGAATGGTTTTGCAGTGCGTGTCTCTGCCACTTGAGGAGTCAGGACAGAGGAAGCTTCTTCCTCCCAATCGTTCTTGAAGGAGCTGGGTGCCTCAACAATAGCAGCTTAGCTCCACTGGATAAGGCTGATAAAATCACCGACCCTTCCCTTAGATATCATATAAGCCTTTCATTAGGAAGCCTTTCATATCCTCCTTGTTCCTTAATATTGTCTATATATTTGTCTTGTTACATCTCATTTGTTCTCTGATCATTATGGGTCACATGAAGCAACCCTCTACTCCTCCCTGAGAACCCTTTTTCATACGAATAGTTCCACAGGCTGGTTCTTGCCACTGGGAGGAAGGGAGGAAGGATGAAGGCATTCACATTCTTTACCGTTCACCTTGGAAATTCTGTAAACTTGAGAAAGGAAATGGCTAAATGAGTACTCTGTTAAATTGAATCTATATGAAAGTAATTTTCTTTTTTTCTTTTCTTTTCAGGAAGCCTTGCTTCAGAAACAGGTAGGATTTTTGAGTTGTGTGTGTTTTGATTACTCTTACTCATACTGGATCTCCTGATACCTGCTGCTTCTGTGATGCAACAATACTGCAGGGTTAATCAACCTTCCTCCCCTGACTAAAGTTTCCAACTGTGGTTGCTTTTATTTTAACTTTCATCCATTTCTTCCATCCCTTCATGGACAACTTCTGTGCATCAGTGGATAGTAGCAACAGTGAGACATAAAGAACTCTTCCTACCAGCATGGAGTAGGACTAATAAAACACGTGCAAGTTCATGAGTGATCTCATTAGAAAACAATGTCAAAATTGCCCCACAATCATGCAAGATTTCATAGTACTATATGCTATGTATATGCTACCTTAAACATTCGTAATTACAGTAGTAACATAGTTATTTGTTTGTGTTATACATAAATCAAGCAACTGATTTTGATTGCTCTATAGAGAAGTGTAATGTTGATTGTATAAGAAATATATATATTAGAACATAATTTCTTTCCTGTTATTCCACTTTTATTTGAAATAATGATGAATGTATTTGAAATAATACATTTGAAAAAAGTTCTCCTTAATGTTTCTATTAACCTTTCAGTGTATGCGGAAGAACTGTGTGTGTGAAAAGGGAGTAAAAGGAGACAAAGGTGACTCTGTAAGTATCCGTTCATATGAAAAGCCTCCAGAATTTGAGTTATAATCATTGAGATCAATGTTGCATGGTATTTTAATTGGTTACTATGTCTGTAAAAAGCAAGACATGAGCTGTGCAATGTACTGCAGAAAGAAATCATGTATCATAGAGTATCACTGTGAAAGGCCACTGTTAAAAGAGCTCAGGAGAAAATCTATCCATAATCACATACTGTGTTGGAAATGTGTTCTTATTATTGGGTAATAAAACTCCATGGATAAATAGGTACATGACACCAAAGCTCAAATAAAAACGTTTTTCATGAATCTTGCAACAGGGATGGAAAGATCCATTAGACAAAAGTTTACTTCCACCAGCAGCTTCTCTTGAAAGGAGACAAAGGTGACTCTGTAAGTATCCATTCATATGAAAAGCCTCCAGAACTTGAGTTTTAATCAAGATCAATGTTGCATGGGATTTTAATTGGTTACTATGTCTGTAAAAAGCAAGACATGAGCTGTCAATGTACTGCAGAAAGAAATCATGTATCATAGAGTATCACTGTGAAAGGCCACTGTTAAAAGAGCTCAGGAGAAAATCTATCCATAATCACATACTGTGTTGGAAATGTGTTCTTATTATTGGGTAATAAAACTCCATGGATAAATAGGTACATGACACCAAAGCTCAAATAAAAACGTTTTTCATGAATCTTGCAACAGGGATGGAAAGATCCATTAGACAAAAGTTTGCTTCCACCAGTAGCTTCTTTGTGTAAGGGACAGAGGTTCAAAGGCTGAGGGTGATGGAATAGATGAAGAAAGGTCTAAAACTCTGCCTCCAACGCTCCCTTTTCTCTTGTGAGGCTTCAACATGTAACTGTTTCTTGGCTCCTGTGAAGTGTGTGACCACTTTGATCCCTTTTGTATTTTTGTATTCCAATTTAAAATTTAAGATCCAAGAATTTTTCAAGTTATTTCATCCAAAATGATTAGATGTAACTGGTTATATATGTATTTTTTGACATATACACTTATACACCAAGCTTTCTAGTCCCCACCTTCATGATCCTCCAAACAGGAATAATGGTGTAGGAATTTCTTTTTATTTGGGGGCTGCTGAATATTGACATTAAGCTGTTCTGTGCACGGTTTTTTTTTAAACACAGAAGATCAGGTAGTAGTGGGTAACTCTGAAAAATGGAGAGGGGGAGCTGTGTGTGTTTTCTGTGACACCGTGATTTTCAAGTATTCTGTAGAAAATGTATTTATCATTGAATATTGATTAAAAAAAAATCACAGATTTTTACCCTTTTTTTTTAGCTCAGTGAAAGTAGTATCACACATGCCATACCTGAATCATTGTGGGTCATGAGACAAATTGCAGAATTTTATCCTTGCAACGGTAATAAAATTTTGCGGCTTTGTTCCAGGGAAGTGCTGGTAGCAGAGGGGAAAGAGGTGAGCCAGGACCCAAAGGAAACAAGGTAAAGTGAATTTCAAAAAATAAAGCAGATTTCTACCTAGCTTTATTCAAACCATAGAAGTGAGTATAGCAGAGGAAAAGTATGTTAAAGTATCATCCGAAAGACTGACTTTAGTTATGAGAGGTTTATAGTTAGCTGCTTTAGAAGTGAAAGAGAAATAATTGAAACTAAAGTGCTATCAAGTTAATACTGGTTATTGTTCCAGTTTTTCCCCAACAGCAGAGGTCTCTGAATCTAGCTGAGGGCTTTCTAAGCCTCACAGAGCTTTCTGCCAGTTGAGAAGTCTCTTGAGCAGAGCAACCTGCTCTGATGACTGTGATTTCAGTCGTCTAATAACAGTAGTTGAGTTTTCTACATTAATGTTCAGGAATTGTATGTCCTTGATGGAGGAAGAAGTGTGTTTATAGTATGTTCATAAATGGGGCAGGCAACTTCTACTCCTGAAACAGTGCTCTTGGTGTTAGTGTAACACAGATAAATAAAAATACCTATTTCAGCACTATTCCTTTGCTTCCAATAGGGCGATGCTCAAAAAGGAGATGCTGGAGAAAAAGGTGAAGAGGTACGTGACTGCTACAGTAGTTTTCAGATTCTCTTCCAGATACTGATTCACACTTTAGTTTCACTGAACTCAAAGTGTGTTTTCCATTTCCCATCTACTTTATTCAATTCTTCAGAGCAGCTAAAATAAGCTCTGGTTTAGGTTCTGGTTCATCTACACTGAGAAAAAGAGTCTAACCATGTGCTTAAGTGTAGAGATGGGACGCTAGTGGCAAAAGGCATTTTTGAAGCTGTGTGATTTTGTATTGACTTGCATTAGACTTAGCCTAAAGTTAGAACTGAAAATGTCATCACTGAAAACATTTAGATAGTTCTCCAGTGACTTCTGACATCTGATATTTCTCAGCTTGAATTCTTGTTTGATTTGCAGTAGGAAGATTAACACTTCTCCGTGTATAAAGTCAATTTGGTTTAAAAGTGCCATTTAGGTGACAGTGTATGTGTGCTAAGAGGCTGGCAAACTGAGTGGTCTATTTACATTCAATGTTATGAGAAAAACATACACATCTAAATTTGCAGAGAATTATGTGTTAAATGATTCCAGTGGGATATTTTATTGTTGTGAATAGCTAAACTTCTGAAATATAATCCTTTACTGTTTTTTTTCCTACTTAAATTAGCAGTATGTTACACTTTCTCTTTTATGATTTTTTCTCTTCTATTTTTTTAATTTTCAAACAGGGAGCTCCTGGCTACAAGGGAGACAAGGTAAGATTTTTAAGGAACAGAAGTAGTCTGAAAATGGAGTGTCACTTGCTGACATTGTATGTGCAAGAATGGAAAGAAGAGCCCGTTGTCTTTTTGTCATGAGAGCTCCTGAGGCCATCCCTAGAAGTAAATTCATTGTTTATGTAAATGCTTGCAGACTGGCTTGTTGTAATTAAAAAATAATCATAATCAGAAAATGTAATCTAAAAATAAAAAGAAAAATGTCAAAAAAATAAAAAGGAAAAAGAAAGTTGAGGGTTGAGTAAGAGGTTAAGTAGAAAGAATGTAAAATTGTTTACTAGAAACAGAAATGGATGTGGCAATCATTAGCTTTCAAAAGACTTACCACAAGGAAGTTTACTTTTAAGCTAATCATAACTTGTCAGGGCTAATGCCCGATTAAAAAAAAATAAAAATCTCAAGATAGGCTCTCCAAGAAGCTGAAAAAAATTATACACTTCAATGACTTGCAAGTTTCTAGAGTGGAAATGTAGCATTGCAAAGTGGACCATCATAAACAGAGCAGAACCAGATAATCCCATTTTCATTGGGCTTGGTTTGGACACATCGTAAATAAAAGCAGTTTCTCTCTGAATTCATTAGAAAAATGGAAACATTTCATGGAAATGGGAAAAGTAGAGTCATAGGTCTACTTTTCGTATGTCTATTGATATGTTAAATCGTCAGTGGAACGCATTAGTAATTCTCATCATTCCATTTGTACAATCTCACGATTGTTGCTCAGGAAAATCCCAGACATCGCAGTAATGGAATCAGAATAGAGAGAGGATCTCTGGAGGCAGTGCAGCGAGGTGGAAAAATACAGCCAAACTTACTAGATATTAAATGTATTGTCCTCTTATGGTGTAGATTGGAAATTTTGTAGGCGTTCTCAGAGAGAAAAGGTCTCTATTTTGAGTGGAGCAGACCGTATCTGCTGCAGACCCTCTCTAATGATGCCATCCTCAGCTCCTCAGAATCCACTAAGGCTCTTGTGCCACTGAACTCCTTGCACAGTCTGTCATGCATTTAGTGCAATCAAAGCATCTTGTTTAGCCATTAACCTTTTCATTTCTTATAAAGGGGGAAAGAGGCGAATGTGGATCCCCAGGAATAAAAGGGGAAAGAGTAAGTATCATTTTTATTTTAACTGTTTCAAGTTGATGAAGATACTAGAAAATCCGGTAGAAATAATATTCGTAAACATAGCTTGTAAAGATTATTGTAGATTTGGAAAATCTTATAATGCCCTGGTAGTAGAGATACATTCATAGTCAAAATATGATTCGTAGAAGCTCAACACACAGTTCACCATATTCTTTTATTCCATTTTACAGAAGAAATGTAGCCCCTTACCTAAAACACAAGCTGTCCTGGCCAATGCTGAGCCCTGCTTACAAAGCACTGTGAGCATGTTTCAGATTTCAAAAGATTTTTTTTTCCCTAAAACTTTAATTTTAATTGAAGTGTATAACCTTATATTCCGATAGGAGCAGGTTGTTACACAACCTGAACAACTTTGAGGTCCACCAGCCCATCTGTGCTGATACACACCTCTGTCTAGTCCTCCTCTTCTTTTAACCTGAAGCGCAGAAGTGATATATATTTTATATATCTATAAAAATATAGATTTTAACCTGGTTTTTACACTCTGAAAGATGGAAGGATAAGGTACTCCTGAGCGAGATAATCATGTATCTTGAGTTCATGTAAGCAGGTTTGTATGAGTACTCCAAACCACTGATTTATAGAGTGTTTAAGTGCTACCAACTAGATTCCAAGTGATAGTTCTATTAAAGCACATTTCTTCAGTTTTAACATCAGTTTTAACATCTTCGGTTTTAACATCCAGTTTTAAGAACCTTTATCAAAGATCAGCTTAAAAATGTTGTGGTTCCTGGAAGCTGGTATTTGATGATGGATTTCAGGTAGGGATTAGGAAATACTCAAAGCACCAGAAAAAAGAGCATTATACTATAATAACCTAAAGGCTGAGAATATCTTGTGGGATCCTGGGGTTCAAAATGGCAGTAAGTGAGTCACAAAAGCCTGAAATATCAGTGAAAAGGAGAAGGAGATGCATCTCTCAGAGGAATAAAGAAAGACCATAACTTCTTTATCCAGGCAATATGTGAGAAATAGCACAAGGTTATGTGAAATGTCTACTAAGATAAAAGGAAGCTGTTCAGAACCTGGCAAAGAACGTTTGGGATGTAGAAAACATCCCAAAAAGGAAGCTGTTCAGAACCTGGCAAAGAACGTTATCAAAGCAGCCAAGAGCTCGGGATGTAGAAAACATATGCTGGGATTGCCGGAAACTTGCTTGTTTCGTTTCTGTTGAGGACAGTGATGGAAAAAAAAAAAAAGTTTGGCATCTGCAAAGACTCAGAGATTATAATGGATTATGGACTACTAGAATTTAGTGAACAAATGAAAATTGCAGTCACTTCCAGAATTCCCAGCTTCACGTTAACAAATGCAGAAGATAGAGCAAAACTCATTGAATGGAGAAATGTCAGCTAATGGAATAAAAATAAATTTTGCTTTCTTTGGATGCATTTTTGAATGTCAGGGTTTTTTTGCAAACTGTTAGCGTGATTCTGCCGGATAGAGCAAAACTCATTGAATGGAGAAATGACAGCTAATGGAATAAAAATAAATTTTACTTCCTTTGGATGCATTTTTAAATGTCAGGTTTTTTTGCAAACTGTTAGTGTGATTCTGCCATGCTACTGATCAGCAGTTGGAGTTGGTGAGACAGTTACCTGAAGTTGTTCTGGTATAAGCACTGCAGCATTTTTTTAAGAATTCTGTATCCAATATACCTCTAGGAATTGAACTTAAAGACCTATAGAAAATATCAACTAGTTAATCAAATAGCTAAGATTTTAAGTAGCCATCCACGATGTTTGGTGTGTATGAAAAAGTATTTTGACCAAATATGGATGGTGGAATGTAACAGGCAATTACTGAATGCAGGGTGAGGACAGCGGACTCTGGAGAGAGAATAAACTTCCATGAAAATGCTTGAACAGAGACATGAAACACGTACACTGTGGTTTTCAATTCCTTAAAGAAATTTTCTATTAATCTGATAATTGAATCTTATTTTTCCTCAGGGTTTGGAAGGTCCTTTTGGCCCCAGGGGACCTCGAGGACCTCAGGTAAGGGAACTAAAGGCTCCCAAATTAAAAGAAAGCACATTATATTCTGTAAGTTTCTTCTACGTACAACCTGTCAACTCTGTGGAGAGCAGTGTGTTTGGTGCGTAGGGCACCAAGAGAGGATTTTGAAGAATTTACTATAACCATGAATGATGGTAGCTGAAAGGGATTATTTTTGTTTCTTTGGGGAAAGTCATGTGTTTCCTGTACTTTAGGGAATGAACACACTCCAAGCACATTTTTGTGTCAGTGATGAAACCAATACATTTAGATTTGGACCAGTTTGTGTCTTTTTATAAGCATAAAATTATCAGTATTTGACCCAGAACTTGTACTAAGATAAACTGGAATTTTGTTCTATTATTCTTTTGATAGCTCAAGATTTATTATTTTCTCCAGTCACTTAAAAAAATTCATGAGACACCAAGGAGCTGTTAATTTCTTTGTGTGTGGGGACACAGTGGTTGTAATAATGTCAGGGAATGAAAATTATTCTCAACTCATCGTCAGAGGGGGATGTAGGGGAAGGGATTTCTTACAAACGGAGCTAAATAGGGTGTGACAGCTTAGTTTATTTGCTTGGGCAAAAGAGAGAATATGAAAATAAGGCAAATTCAGGAGCAGGAGGAGAAGGGAATGGAAAACTTTGGATAAAAGAGATGCCATTCACATGGAGTAGTAAGATACCCTCTCTGCCAGTGCTGGTTGTTGAATATTAACCATATTCAACAGGGCGCTTACAGAATCATAGAACGGTTAGAGTTGGAAAAGACCTTCAAGATCATCAAGTTCCAACCACCTGCCCTGGGCAGGGTCACCTCCTACCAGACCAGGTTGCTCAAAGCCCCATCCAGCCTGGTTTTGGCCCCTCCAGGGATGGGGCAGCCACGGCTTCTCTGGGCAACCTGAGCCAGGGTCTCACCACCCTCACAGTGAAGAATTTCTTTCTAGTATCTAAATCTCCCCTTTTTCAGTTTAAACCATTACCCCTTGCCCTATCACTACATTCCCTGATAGAGTCCCTCCCCATCTCCCCCGTAGGCCCCCTACTTCTGTCCCTTAGAGCTTAGCATTGGGCTACATTTTACTGTACCCCCTGGGGACAAGTTCCAAAGAAACTGGCTCTTCATGTCTCTTCATATGGCAACTCATTCTATACTTTGACTTTTGTCTAGGGTATCAGTGGACCTCCAGGGGAGCCAGGCCCAAAAGGTATTCAAGGAAGCAAGGTAAGATGTAGCTGTAGATGTGTAGGTGTTATTTATAAAGGGAGAGAAGATGCAGGAACTCTGTGTTCTCCTCTACTATCCTTTTTCCTCAGTGGTTTTGTTTTTAGTGGTACCCTTCACACAGCAATGATGTACATCTACTTGGTGCACCGTAGCGTTGTCACCTTGTAAAAACTGCGTCATCGGCGCGTAGAGCCACTTCTCCATCTGGGTGTCTGAGCTCAGGAGAGCACTTTATAGGGCCACAATAGGGTGCTATCAAAGTCTTCTGCCAACACTCAGGAAGTTTTTTCTAGAATATTTGGGACTAAAATGCTTTGTGTTTACAGTTTTGAAGTAATTCTAGATGGTGGTTATAAAATCTTTAGGTTGAGTTTTAAAAGTCAGTTTTAATTGCTTGTATACTGTAAAAACGCAAGACAACTTTGAAATTGGTAGAGGTGTAAGATTTGATGATGATTAATGCCTTAGTTATGTTTAAAATAGATTGTTTAGAGTTATTGACTACAGTTTATCAAGAAGACCAGTTGGATAAAGTGTCTGGTTTGCAAGTCTTTGGGAAATTGCTTTATATGGACAAATTGTCTCGCCTGTGGGACAGCTGTGAACATCATTGTTGGGTACAGAAAGATATTTCATGTATCGATTTGAAAATGTGGGATCTAATGACAAAGACTTTCTACCACAGGATTATTGATAGTCTGGTTAATACAATGATATATCTGAGTTATACAAGGCAACTAAATTCATACGAAGTAATTTGCCAGAGATGCAATATTTAAGCACTCATGTTTTGTTTCTTAGGCAACAATATCATTTGAAGATTCACAGAATTAAATTTAGATATGGGAAATGTTTATGGTAGAAAGTTTGGAATACTGGCATCTATCATGGTTTTCCTCTTCCTGACAAATGCTTTTTCATACTTCATGTTTCTTCATCTTCTCAACAAAATGCTTGATTAGGAAAGCTGCTACGGAATATTTCAGAATTGGAGAAAGAAAGAGGATGATGGGTCTGAAAGAAGCTATTCATACATGTGGTGGAAAAGTCATGCCTCTCTTTAACTTCAGCACAGCAAATGACAGTCATTTTTTTATCTGTCATTTCACACTGATGAGTCCAAGATAGTACTACCAAATACTTTTATTATACACTAAACCCTGTTTGTTGAATTTCATTTGTCCTCCTGTCAGTCTCTTCACGCACTTTCATGTCTGTAAAATACATGCAACTCTCTCTAGAATTCATCTACCTGGATATAATATTCATGGTCTCCTGTTATACTTTAGCTGCAGATTTTCAGTAGGAATAAGAAAGAAAGTTCCCTCCTTTTTCAGCTTCCAACTCTGCAACCTACTGTTTAAAGTCTATAGCTGAGGTTTTTCCAGACTCAGACATCTATCATAAAAACAGTATTGCCAGGCAATTTTAATTAATACACTAATTAAAGACTATAACAGAACTATATGCATGTTTAGAGGTTCTGTCTTGCCCACACCTAGCGCCAAAACCAACTTCTGGCATTTTGGAGCTCGTTTGAGACGAGTGAAAAATTTGTTAATGATCGGTACAGATAATCAGTGGTTGTTTACAGCTTAATAAACACCCATTCAGTGAGTAAAGGTCAAGGTCTTTTTTGGTTCAGACACATAGCAGTCTTTCCAATATCTTTTGTCCTTACAAAAGATTATTCAGTTGCTCTTTTAAAATTAGTTTTCATGACACATAATACAATATCTCTGAGAAGTGGCGGTTATTTATAACAGCCTTGGATAAAATAAATAAGTCTATTCTTAGTGCAGTTCCTTATATCCGTGGCCTTTCCGTGCTTAATACTTTCTGCTTTTTGAGCTGAACTAGTGACTTCACCCTGGTGTAGCAGAGCTAAAGGCAGTTAAATGCCATTAGCATCAATGTGACACAAGGCAGAACACCGCCGCTGGACACTGTCGTGCACTGTTAGTGGGCCGTGTTGAGGTTTGAAAGGGGAGATTCAGTTCCTCCAAATATAAACTCCAGATCAAGCTGAGCCTACAGATGGTTTAGGTTCTCATTTGTGAAGTCTACAGATCACTCAGTGTCATCTGGGTGCTCTCTGGGTGCTGCTGCCTCTGGCAGCCACCAGCAGGAGAGGGTTGGTGGCATTGCAACCTTGACTAATTTATTTTGACTTGTCTGAAGCAAGGCAGCGTGGAGTCCAGAAACATTTCCAAGAAAGCACTTAAAAGAACTTTTCATACCTTACTACTTCTGTTATCCGTATGCATTTTGTTATTCTCTCTTAAGCTGCTGGCTCATCTGTCAGTGTGAAGTCTGACTGTCTGCTCAGAACTCTGCTCCTGTATCTTTTCATGATCTTTCCTTGTCATATTGCCAGTAATGAGTTTAATCTCTCTCAAAAGTGCCACTGCCTGAATTGACCAGCTTTCCACTAACTACTGGCTGGCAGGAGCTCAACCAGCCTGGTTCCATGTAGACCCCTAAGTTTAGGAGTGATCGTATGGAGCTGAATCACATCCTGACCTCTTAAAGTCTTCCTGATGTACGTCGCAATAAGCCCTTATCTTTAATAACCTCTTTAATATACAAGCAAACTTTGTCACTTCACTTTCACCCTCTGTTCGAGTCATGTATGAATATGGGGAGCAACCTATACCCTGTACAGAATGCAGCTCAGCGTGGCTTTTACTAAGACAAGGTTTTGCTATTAAGCAAACTTTAAAAAAAATTTTCTCTGTCTGCATTTCTGCAAAGCTGTAACATCTCAAAACCACCTAAATAGCATTATTACCATGTATACATATCTTTTCCATAAAGAGGCTGAGGAATTTAAAATGACAAATTTGAATTCCGCTTCTGTAAAAATAAAAATACATGTTAGCTCATCTCCCCAGTAAAGTTCTGTAGGACTGTTTATATTCAAGGAAATTTTGAAAACGTGTTCATTAGAGAGGGGCATAATAGTGACTATTCGCAAATCTCAGTGGACAATTAACAAACATAATGCTATGGTTACAGGTTGGAAAATTGGGGCATAAACTCAGCAACTGGGCATGGCCTGTGTCGTACAGCAGTGATGAGCAGGGAGTACTTGTGGTTGTCATCTCAGAAGTGGCATCGGGTTGGTTTGTTTAAACTCTTAGACCAGTTACTAGAAATAAAGTACACATTTCTAGAAACCATGATTTATTCATGGAAAGACTGAAAACAACACATTCTTCAAAGCCACTGCTGGAGTAAGAGCCTCTGAAAAATTTCATATGTACAGAAAGATTCTGAATTAGAGTCTGAAGTTGTACAAACAGATGTGCATTCAAACTTTTAAGGAAAGAGTTAAGTTTGAATGTGGGTATTCAAAGCAGTTATTCCCATAAAAACCATCTTGGGATAATCCTGTGAAAAATCCGTCATTGCATATTTCCCTGAAAATGTGTCCTAGAATGAACTGCTAAGGGATGCTGCTGCTTCTCTGATGACAGAAATTCTTTCCTTACTTATGTGGCCAGTTACATCTTTCCCAGGAGAGTGAAAAATCCAATTTCCCTGTAAAGAAGTGCAATTCCTAGGTACCTCAGCTAGCTGAGAAATACAGAATATCAATAATATTTGTTAAAATACCTGTATCTACTTCCATTGTTGTTGCCAATGTTTCCTTTAAAGATAAAATCTATGTATTTGAAAGATTATTTTTTACTTTGGCTTAGTCATTCTCCAAAATACAGAGCCTTTGTGTTCTTTGCAGTATGTAGGTGCTTTCTTAAAGAAATTATTTATATAGACACTACAGAATAAACTGTTTGGGAGGGTGGGGTTGGCAGACTGTAAAGTATGTTGCAAGCTCAAACTGGTGCAGTTTTAATATATAAAAATACTAAGCTCAGACCAAGTGTAATTTCCCTTCCCATTGCTCTAGCCAATATTACATGCCACCTGAAGGAAAATCCCAATAGGGAGGGAAAAAAGGATTTGAGCAGAGTGTTAGACAAAGATAATAATTGCAAAGAAGCTGCTTTGAAAAGCGGACTTTGCCTTCTACGTGTAGAGATAATGGTATGATTGCCAGCACCTCAAGGGTTTCATGAATTCCACATAACCTGTAGCACCAAGACCATAGAAGATGAAAGCCAAGCATGCTAATAGCCATGTGAAGTTTAAAATACACAGTCTTTAAAATAGATTGAATAGTTGAAGTTTCCAGCTGTTGCCTGTTCTCTGGCTTCTTTCTCCATTAACACTCAGGCATCTTCTGCCATCAGTGTGAGTGAGTGTTCAACACAACAAAATTTTCATGCCACCCTCCCTGATTTTTATCGTAAGGGCTGTTTTCCACCAGTCCCTACCCCTGGTCCAGCTGCTGTCAGGCAGGTTACATGACACTTTCTTTCTGGAAAGAAAACTGAGAGATGTTTTTATCGTGGTTTAAAATAAGAGCTTTTGGAAAAACATTAACTTCAGTGGGACTCCCATGTGCGTTGAAGGCATTGTGCGTATCGGCAGAGCTCTAGCACGTGGGTCAACTTGAGAAGGAGCAGATGATTTGTGAGAGGAAGCATCCCTTGGAGTCGCCTTCCTTGGGAAGTTCTGCTGGGGGCCCTCAGAAATAGACACAAAACACCACGTCCGTTGGGACTGCACCACAAAAAAATTGGAAAACACTTTCCAAACACAACAAAAGGGGGTTGGTTTGTTGTTTCAGCTGAGAGATGAGCCTGTGTTTATCAAATGTCATTTTGCAGCATGGAACAAGTTCCTACACCATTGCAGTTTTGACACATGGAGCCAACGTGCTTCGTGGCATTTGCTGTGCCCAGCGTAGCCTAATCACACATAGTGGTGCTGCTGAATAGTGGGGGTTTTTAACATATTTTCAACTTTTGCACTCTGGGGCACACAGAACAGGGATCCCAGGCTGCCTTCTCCGTGAAAGAAATGAGGACTGAGTTTGAACAGCTAATTTTCAGCACTCTGTCTGGCCTTATGGCATCCTGTGCCAATTCCTTTCTCACTGGGGCAACTCTTGAAGTGGGGAAGTCCATCCCTCACCAGACTGTCCCCAGGCCCTGGAATTTAATGGAACTGGATGTGTTAGTGCTGCTGATGAAGTGGAGAGCTGTTGGTGGTGAGCTAAGGGAGTCTATAGGCTGAAAGGCAAAGTTTCTTAGGCACCAGGCTGGTGGGCTTGGCTTAACATTCTTCCACAACCCATGTTTTGTGCATCTTGACCAGCTTTGCAAGAATCATAGAATGGTTTGGGTTGGAAGGGACCTTAAAGCCCATCCAGTTCCACCCCCTGCCCTGGGCAGGGACACCTCCCACCAGAGCAGGTTGCTCCAAGCCCCATCCAGCCTGGCCTTGAACCCCTCCAGGGATGGGGCAGCCACAGCTTCTCTGGGCAATCTACAATGAGTATAAAACATACTTTTCCTGCTTCTTGTCTAAACAGAATCAGCTCAAAAAACCCTGAAATTCAGCTAACTGTTGGCTTAAAGGACAACAGTACTCAAACAGGGAGTTTGTAAAGAGAACTAAAGTGGAGACAAGTACAAGCTTTGGCTGTATTATTTTTGGCATTCCTTAAATTTCCTGCTGATGGGAAACAATAAAAATTATTTTTGATCAGCTGATTTTGAAAGGACAGTTTGTTCAATGCCAAATTAATCCCATGGAGGAACTGGAAGTCTAGATGGGCCATTTGAGGATTTTTTGTGTGTGGTTGTTGTTATTTGATCAGCTTCAAAAAAACACAGGAGGAAAAAACAGCTATGAACTAAAAGGATCAATTTCTAATGGGCTTTATGGCAGTGAAAACTGTATCATTTACAGAAGTCTGGATACACATCGTCCCAGTTGTGACTTTGGTCCAAAGCCTTCATGAAAATATTAGGAAACCCAAACAATAAAGTCTGCCTAGGAATACAGAAAACTTCTTTGCTAAATTCTGTGTTTTGGCACAGTAAATTTCATAGCTCCTCTTCAAATTATCATCACATTGTCCTGTACTGGAATGAATTTAGGACTGGGCGTCAAGTTCCACTTTATTCTAGGTTTAAAGCTGCAGTGGTAGCACTCCAAGTGCGTACTGATCAGAAATTAAGCTTCAAGGATAACCTCTTTATTTACTTTCACTGTATATTTCTGCATCTTAGCTTCATTCTTCAGCAGATTGCAAAACTGGTAGATTTCTGGAGAAATATCTGGCTGTGATCTCTTTTTTTTTGACGTCTCCAGTGCAAAAATCTCATTGGAAGGTTTCAGAACTCAGCATATAAAATGTCTTGGTATATACAAAATTTCAACACCCCAAATACGAATAACTGCCCAGAAAATAAGCATATTTTGCTAAATGGAGCACCAGTTGTGATGTGCAGTTGTTGCTGTGCGGAGACCCTTGAGTGCAATGTTTCATTTACAAATGCCCATCTTTCTAGCAAGAAGAAAGCTGAGGAAGCACCATATTATTGGAATTGGATGTTATTGGATAAAGTCAGGATCGAAGATATGACAAAGACTAAATATATTTTTTGATCTTTCCTGATGGATAAGAAAGAATGGCTTTATAACATTATTATCTATCCCAGCAAGTTGTACGGCCAGGATATTGACCCTGATCCTAATCTAAACACGGGTTTGGGTTTTTTGTTTGTTTTGGTGGTTTTTTTAACTTTAAAAACATATTTCCATAGCCCTAAATGAGGCAATGGAAAGACGCTTTGTCAGAATTTGGTTGAGGTTCCATTTGCATTTGCATTATTAGTTTCTTTCCTTTTTTTTTTTTTTTTCCTTTAGGGAGAGCAAGGCCCTCTAGGTCCCTATGGTCCTCCAGGACCCCCCGGTGTTGGACAGCCCGGACCCAAGGTAACCCTCAGCAATACCTGTTAAACAGCCCTAACTGTGGGCTAACTGAAGTGCTTTCATTTTTGGGATAAAAGTTCTCACCTGCTGTTCTATCCAACTCAAACTCTTATTATCTAAATGTAAAACTGATACAATATTGACTTTTTTTTTGTATTTGCATTAGATGGACATAACAGACCTGCCTTTCCAGCAGCTTTAAGTTTTTATTGTGATCCCATTGATATTATAGAAGTCAGAAATAATGCCATGTAAAGGGGGTTAAATATGTGAGATCATTTTCAAGCACTAGCAGATGCTCACAATAATGAGTAAACCACATCTCAAGGCACAGAAATACATCTCAGCCACTGCGATACACAGTCAAGTCACAGATTTGCCTTGGTATTTCTTCACTAGGGAACAGATATTCTTATAGGTTATAAAATTCTCTCCCTCGTGCAGCATTTAATTCCTCCCATCTTATTTTATTGCAAAAGACTAGAAGGTGGAATCCAGTCTTGGTAATTTGGAAAAGTAATGCCTGCTTGTGTTGGCCAGCCAGATCTCCTTTTGGAAAACTGTAAAAGTATCTATTTAGTTTATGAGAGTTTTGTCAGACCTACACCTGAGACTGAAACAAGAAATCTGAACTGGGCAGAGGTACATGTTACCCTAATTCTTCTGGCTGCTGTCTTTGGTATTGCTTTATGCCATTTTTTTCCCTATTTTTTGGAGCCAAGTGCCAATGTCTAAAATACCTGCGCTTTTTTTTTTTTGCTTTTACTGCTCTAATTTATACCTTCATCAAACTCCTGCCAGTTTTCTGTGCAGCGGGGCAGGTCCCAGAACACAGAGAGGGTTTATATATCTCAGAAACCAGTAATTTGCCCTATAAAAGGAACAACACTGGGTCATTCCAGAAGGGAAAACAGTTTATGAAGAAGGAATGTCACTCCCAGTCTCTGTACAACTCTGGGGAGAGATAAAAATCCTCTGTGCTCTTATCCTTGGAGCACATAGTCCTCAGAAAACTGGAGGAACTGTGAAGATTATGACACCTTATAAAAAGCTGCAGAAACTATGCAGTTCCTGCATTTTCCATGCAATCCCATATTCTGCTGAAGCAGGCTTCAATGTGAGTGCCTGGATAGAAGCTATGGTGAGGATCCCTCACACCTGAGCACTCCTGCTTCATGGTTGGGTTGTACCACAACCAAATTTAGCTTGATTTCCCTCCCTCATCCCTGTCATCTCTCAGGTCCCGCACTTTTAAGTAGTTACCCCCACAATAACAGCCCTTTGCAGTTGACATGGGGGCTGGAACGCAATCTAGTGTGCCAAGAGTTGATAAAAAGGTACTTTCAAATGTTTTTCAATTGTTATTCATGCTTTTTTTTCTTTTTTTACATCAGGAGATGTTAAGCATTTACTTTCAGACCTTTCTGATGACATCACTGAGTCACCTACATGTAAATATTGTGCTTTTTGAAAGTATCAAGTTGAATTAGGACTAAACTTTCTGATATTCTTTTTCCCAAGGGTGCTCGAGGTCAAGAAGGTAAAATTGGATTCCCAGGACCTCCTGGAATTGGTGAACCAGGATTACCTGTAAGTCAGTGATATATGCATTGGAAGTGAAAATATAATAAAATAAGTCTTAATGACTGTAATTGATTGACAACAGCTGTATTGGGTACCGATTCCATAAACCACCTTGTACCCAGTCTGCAGCAGCAGAAGTGTTTTTGGGTATTTCAGCCAGCCCAGTACCGTGGCAGTAATTGCACGACCTTGTACCCAGTCTGCAGCAGCAGAAGTGTTTTTGGCTATTTCAGCCAGCCCAGTACGATGGCAGTAATTGCATGGGGCTTGCCCAAGTAGGATAATAAAGCCACGTCCAAAAAAGTTCTGGAGAAATAAAAACTTGCTTGTTCCACATGAGCAGGATTGCAGTATCCAGCTTTCAGAAAGACACAGAGTTGTATGTAAGTAGCTGTACCCCTACTTGAGTGAAGGATAATCTATAAAAATTGTCTAAAATAAATTTTAAGAAGGTGAAAATCCAAGAGCTGAGATGTTCCTCAACTCCTGTGTGGAATTAGGAGTACATCGAGACCAAAGACCCACATTACATGCTTTTAATTATAGCCTTTTCTTCTGAATTGCAGAACTTGAGCAAGCTTTTTGTGAGGTCAAGAAGGTAAAATTGGATTCCCAGGACCTCCTGGAATTGGTGAACCAGGATTACCTGTAAGTCAGTGATATATGCATTGGAAGTGAAAATATAATAAAATAAGTCTTAATGACTGTAATTGATTGACAACAGCTGTATTGGGTACCGATTCCATAAACCACCTTGTACCCAGTCTGCAGCAGCAGAAGTGTTTTTGGCTATTTCAGCCAGCCCAGTACGATGGCAGTAATTGCATGGGGCTTGCCCAAGTAGGATAATAAAGCCACGTCCAAAAAAGTTCTGGAGAAATAAAAACTTGCTTGTTCCACATGAGCAGGATTGCAGTATCCAGCTTTCAGAAAGACACAGAGTTGTATGTAAGTAGCTGTACCCCTACTTGAGTGGAGGATAATCTGTAAAAATTGTCTAAAATAAATTTTAAGAAGGTGAAAATCCAAGAGCTGAGACGTTCCTCAACTCCTGTGTGAAATTTGGAGTACATCAAGACCAAAGACCCAAATTACATGCTTTTAATTATAGTCTTCTCTTCTGAATTGCAGAACTTGAGCAAGCTTTTTGTGACACTGAGTTAGTGCTCGCTGGCTCCTTTTTCTTCCTGAAATGCATAAAATCTATGGTTTTCTTGTGTATTTCATTAAAAATCTCAATGAGGATTGTTAATTAAGGAGCCACGAATGTGGATGGGTGTTAGATTCATTCTAATAATATTTTTGAAAGTCTCTTGGTGGTTGTGAAAGACTATTTTTCTCACAAAAAATGTAGAAGAAACTTTCGGTTTATTAATCAAGATAATCCTTAAAAACTTTTAATTAGCTTTAAATAGTGAGATAGCTGAATTTTGTGGAAGACTAGAAAATATTACAAAAATAATTATTTCTGTACTTGTTTAAAACAAAATTGGCATTCTCTAATTTTGTATGTTTAACCTGCCATTTTGTATTAAAAAGCCCTATGTTCAAATTAATGATTTTAATTATGAAAATCATGAAATTATATGAAATTCTAGGGAACAAATTTTAGAGTCGTAAATGTGTTCATTTGAGTTTTAAGGGTTTGGCCTTTAGGCATTAATTAGGTAATTCACACCATTTCAGTATCAGCTTATTGTAATCTAAAGCCTCCAATTAAGGGTTCCTGCACTTCATTTTAATTGGCTGAGCTCAGCCAAGTGTTACAGAAGGATTGGTACTTACCAGTGTTATAGGAGCTGCAAGAACCTATACCAGCAAGTTAGGCAAAGTGTCAATAGAAAATGGAGTTGCTGATATAGTCTGAATATATATATTTTGAATATATATTTTTCTTTTTACAGGGACCACGTGGCCCTGATGGTCTGCCAGGTGAGAAAGGTCTACCAGGAGAGGGCATTCAAGGCCAAAAGGTAGTTTTATGGAAATGATTCTTTTTAACATTGTGGGCTAAATTTTTAGTATTGTCTAAGTTATTTAAGGTCTCTGATCATTCTTCTGGTGTGAAATGTCATCTGATGGATCTTGCTCTTTTGAGTCACTGCATGCTCTGAATGTCCCTCCAAGTTCCAAAGCTATATCAAGATAATTACAAAAAAGTTGGACAGTCCCTCTAGTGGTATTAAGTTAATTATTCTCCTATTTATGTGTTTAATAAGATACCTTATTTTGGTAGCATTAATAAGATAACTTGTCTTCTGAAAGAATACTTTGCTATTTATGTTCTGAATTGGAAGAAAACACTCAGAAACTGTTTTTATTTTGTCTTACCATTTTGGGAAACTAAAAGCAGGGGTTGTATGAGTCTCTATGGACAGTTACCTCATTAAGGGCACTTGCTAGGTTAATATATGTGAACATTCCTTTTTTTTAAAAATAAGTACAAACAAGCAAAGATTTATGATTAAATCACAACTGGGCTTCCCATCAAAATGTGTCCCTCTTTTTTAGTGGCTTCAAGATTCTCAAGAGCCCTGAACTACTAAGCAAAGAAGATTTTTCTTCCTTTTATGGGAAAGATGTTAGTCATGTCCTTGCACCAGGTTCTGAACATATTATCACATTTTTCAGAAAGTAGCTTCCTTCTCCCTAGTATTTAATTTTCTCCCTTTGAAGTCCTGTGTCCAACAACACAATGAATGTAGATGAAGCAGGTTATGAGTTGTAATGGAATCACTTTTAATACTGATAATTCCATTGGCTATTTTCCTTGTTTGTTTGTGAAGGAATGCTTTTTTCCTCAATTATCCACATTGCAATGACCAGTTTGTCTAGGATGGTGTTCTTTATAGTTACAAAATTGTCATATATTTCTAGGGTGAAAAAGGCTCTGAAGGTGTAGCCGGTCCTCCTGGACTGCCAGGTCAACAAATCAAAGGTGACAAGGTGAGTAGAGTATTTCTCTAATCGTATCTACAGTTAATTATAGTTAAGTTAATGATGAATTATTCACAAAGTACCATAGGCTGCACTCAATTATATGAGCAGCTGAGCCTGTTAATATTAACTGAGAGCACTGAGGACTGTATTCTGTACAGCTGGGAGTATGAGGGAAGAAGTTGACTTTTTTTCCTCCTAAATGTATTTCAGAAATATTGTATTTTAAATATTTTTAATTTCATTTAAATATTTTTTAAAAAGTAAAAAACCCTTTGAGTTGTCTGATCTAATGGACCTGGAACAGGCAAAGGAACACTCTATAAATTTGTTTGCTTATTGGTGCCAAGTGCCCCAAAGAGGAATCCAGAACAATTTTCGTTCCCTTGGGCCTGGTGAGATTCCAGCCAGGATCTTGTGGATCCCCAGAGGGTGGATGATGCAACGTGCCCAGATGCCCTGTAGAGCAGAGGTAGTGATTCCAGACCTTCCTTCTCATGATTTAGTGCCATAGCCCTTGTCCCTACTCCCTGTTGGTTTCCTTCCCTCCTGTCCCCATGACTCCTGCTCTCCTCCTTGCCCCACACTCAGCTTCAGAGAGAGAAGGGGACAGCACTCCCATCCAAAGCCATTGACAGCTTGGTCATTGAGGAGTGTTTCATGGATGTGGGAAGTTTAACTTCAACTTACTCATCTCACCGTCCCATATTCCTCTATTCCCATCATTTCCTCTGCAGTAATTCTTCTGTTCCCTCCCCAAGCACTGTACAAATACCATTGCAACACCATATGACAAAGATTTTTTAAAAAATACTCACTAGCTGCTCAGTTTACAATTGCACGCTTTTCTTCTGAGTGTTGTGCAAGAAAATGTGTATGTTTTTGTATAATAAAATGTTTAAAATTATTCTCAGTGTGTGAAGATAAGCTTCTAATAATGAAGTTACGGTTCTGATCATCTAATGTTATAAATGAGATAGAATTTGTAGATAGGAAGGGGTATTATTTTGTTAGATCAACTGCCATAGGTAGACTTTCAGGTGTTCCAAACAGTTTTAACTCAAATAGAAGCAGCAAACTTCACAATAATGCAGCTTGGGGACTGTTGCTCTATGTTTAGTTTAAATATTGCAATTTAGCTCTTGGGAATGCTTTTTGTACAGGGTGAACAAGGCCAAGTAGGACCACAGGGCCCAGCAGGACCACCAGGAATAGGCAATCCAGGAAGCCAGGTAAGTCCACATTTTTGGGTATATAATGAGCTTTTGCATGTAGTTTTAATTTTCAACTCTAATATAGCTCTGATTTTGATGTGAAGACATGAGAAATCTCGTAATGATTTTTCATTTTTAGAAGTATCAAACTAATCCTTAGGCAAAGATTGCAAATATGTGATTCCAGCTGATTTGAATGGTCTTAGAATCAAGCAATCAGCGATTTGGTCTAATCTGCATAATAATTTGCATAGGCGATAAATCAGATGCATTGCTTGGATGGTAACATGTTATAGGTAAGAGTTTCACAAGGTAAGAATCCACCACTGCTGAATTTCCAGCCCTTTGAAGCTTGAACACAGCCTTTAACAGTTGGATACAGAAAAACTGAAACATCCCAAAAGATCTTCAGGTTTTGGCGTTTTTTGGAAAGAAGAGTTCAAATTTCCACCATACTGTTGCAATGAATCAGGGCTTAGATGCAGATGCTGAGACACTTCCCATTTGTTTTCTCCCTAAACAGTAATTGTCATTCCACTTGGAAGCTTGGTAAAATCCACAGGATAGTGACAAAGGAACAATAGATAAAGATCTCGGAAATAAGCCTGAGGACAGGCAAGCAAATTGTGGTGTTTTTTGTTTTTTTTTTTTAAATAAGATAAAGTCATGATTAGCTGAAAGGTGGACACGGAAGAGTGTAATGCACTAACTCATTTATTTTTCGTTGCAGGGTGTACAGGGTCCACAGGGAAACCCTGGGGCAAAAGGATCTAAAGGTTTTGGGCTGCCAGGTCCAAAGGTAAAGGTTCAGACATTACTTTTTAAAAATATCACCAGCAGGAAACAGCAAGCAGCATAACGTGTCCATTTCTACATGCAAAACAGTCAGTGAAATAGTGCAAGTAATGAATGAAGCTAAATTGTGTTCCTCTGTTAAACTAAAGGTTTTTTGTTACCAGGGTCAACCAGGTGAACCTGGACAAAAAGGGGAACCGGGACCTCCAGGAATTGGTGTGCGAGGACTTAAAGTGAGCCTATTTTTATTTTTAACTGCTCTTTACAGGGCCTTCTAGTTCTTTCACTAAGTAGCGTAATTTTTGGTATAAATTCAAAATAAGAAGGAATTTCAGTGACAGATATTCCGTAACTGGAACAGTGTTTCCCCCCATCTTTTCTGAGCTAGTGAGGGATTTCCAAGGCCTGTTGGAAATGTTACTACCTTGTTCTTCTGCAATGATTTGGAAAAAAAACCCACCAGTCTGTGTGACAGTGATGGCCATAGTGTCCCCATGTCAGAAGAGTTGGTAAACACTTAAAACTTTGACTTCAGGTGCCATTTTGAAGACTGTGTACCATGTCCTTAATGATTTAAGTAGGCATCCAAAATCTTGGGTAAGGTGATGTACTTATTTTAGATTGTATGCGTAGAAAAAATTACTGGTTCTACAGAATAAATTTAATTTACCAGCAATACCAACCTTTATTTAAGCAAAAATATTGTATATCATTGATTAATATTTTAACACACTGTTAGATCCAATTTACAGAATAAAAAAAATGTATTGAAGTATGCAGATATAATTATTTATTCTTCTTAAAGGGAGATATAGGTCTGTCAGGACTCCCAGGAGAGAGAGGGGTGCAGGGAGATCCTGGGAAGACAGGGAAAAAGGTAAGAAAATATATTTTATTGTGTGTAAAAGGTGTAGAGGAAAGAAGAACAAACCATTATTTACAGGTGTGCGATTGGCAAGGAGTTTGTCCTTGAGATGGATCCAACAAACTTTACTAATAGTAAATTGTGACAGTGATGGCCATAGTGTCCCCATGTCAGAAGAGTTGGTAAACACTTAAAACTTTGACTTCAGGTGCCATTTTGAAGACTGTGTACCATGTCCTTAATGATTTAAGTAGGCATCCAAAATCTTGGGTAAGGTGATGTACTTATTTTAGATTGTATGCGTAGAAAAAATTACTGGTTCTACAGAATAAATTTAATTTACCAGCAATACCAACCTTTATTTAAGCAAAAATATTGTATATCATTGATTAATATTTTAACACACTGTTAGATCCAATTTACAGAATAAAAAAAATGTATTGAAGTATGCAGATATAATTATTTATTCTTCTTAAAGGGAGATATAGGTCTGTCAGGACTCCCAGGAGAGAGAGGGGTGCAGGGAGATCCTGGGAAGACAGGGAAAAAGGTAAGAAAATATATTTTATTGTGTGTAAAAGGTGTAGATGAAAGAAGAACAAACCATTATTTACAGATGTGCCATTGGCAAGGAGTTTGTCCTTGAGATGGTTCCAACAAACTTTACTAATGGTAAATCTGAATCTGCATCTGGTTTAGCTGCCCTGCCAATTCCATCGGCTTCTTGGAGAACAGGTATCTTGTGTCTTTAGCCTGTTTGGATTTTTCTGGCCACCAAGAAGTCGTGCCCAAATTGATGGGACTTTGGGCACCTACCGTGCTGAAACCTGTCAGGCTGGTACCAAAACCAGCTGCAACCAGGGCTGCTTGTTTCCAAGATTTGAAGAGAAACACTGCCACATTGGGGGAAAAAGAAGCATAAATTCAAAAAACGGTGGAATTTAATTTAGAGAGATTGCAGAAAAGAGCACCCAAAATAGTCAATTGAGATGTCAAGTTAAATGGAGGCTGTTAATTTTACTCTTTCCGAATGGAAGGAGCTGCTGAGGGAGCAAAACTCAGTGCTTTGCTGATGGTTGAATTGCTGCTGAGAATTCAGGTGCCTCCAGACCCTGCTACTGTAAAGCTCGTAGATGAGGAGAGCAGCTCCCCAACAGGGAGAATTGATGAACTGAGCACGGTTCAGAGTAAGCAAATCAGCATTTTTTTGGTGCCTCCAGACCCTGCTACTGTAAAGCTCATACATCTCCCAACAGGGAGAATTGATGAACTGAGCATGGTTCAGAGTAAGCAAATCAGCATTTTTAGCCTGCAGGTCTCTAATGAGAAAATATCTGAATAGCTGTAATAAACATCTATTAAGAATGCAGCTTCCCATGTTTTCATCTACTGCAAATACCAGTTTGACAAGCTATGGCCTGAGGCAGTAACCCTTCCACTGTGGAAAAATATGTGGCATTTCTGTTGCTACTTCATTATCTTATTAAAAAATTGAAGTCTCCTGCTATGTAGGCCCTCAAAAATGAAGATCCCAGCACATCAGAAGTGAAACGTCAGAATTAAGAGTAAACGTTGGGTTAAAGTTAGAGGTGGCTTTTGTATTTGGGAATGCTGGGGTGAAACGTTGGGTTAAAGTTAGAGGTGGCTTTTGTATTTGGGAATGCTAGGGTGGTGGGGTTTTTTTCTCTTGCATATTGGCTTTATTCTGATGGTGCTCTCTTGTAGTTCATTATAAGTGAAAATATTAGTGCTGAGCAGCTGGCGTGGGCGTTCAGAACGGTGCAAAGACCAGCCTGATGCCTGCGGTGAGCAGGGCGGTGGTGCCCAGGCAGTCATTTGCACGTCAGAAATGGATTTTTAAGCTTCATTTCAATCTACTTTTCACTTCCTGAGTTACTGGCAGGCATTCTGATGCACTAATCCAACCTACGTAACGCATAAATATTTTGTATATCATGTTCTTTTATTTAGAAGTGTTTCTGTGGATTTTGTGTGACTTATTTGAAGTAATGTTTCTGGATTGGCTTTTGACTACAGAGTTGCCTAAAATTACTGCTTCTTAAGAGTTGTGTTTCTTAGAATTGGTCAACTAAGACCTTTTCTGACAACTTTGCAAGTATTTCTCTTCCTCGTGTGAGTATATGTGTGCAATTCTTCCAACAAAAGATTGATACAATTGCGAATGGCCCTATTACAAGTGTCTGTGAAAATAAGGAACATGAACACAGGAGGGGGGAAGGAGTTTAAGACGACAGGATACTTTGGGTTTTGCTGGAAGAAATTCCCAATGGGTATTTACTGACATTTTGGGGAAAAGTGTTTATGCAAGCATCGTTCCTTGTAAGTGAATTGAGTCAATAAAAATAGACATTGAATGAAATTTAAATGAAAATTAATTTTAAGCATCTAATCTCTGTCAGGGAGAAAAAGGAGATCAAGGTCCCAGAGGCCCGGAAGGAGCCCCCGGCAAAGGAGATGTGGGCCAAAAGGTACAGCTCAACATGCATGCTCCAGAAATACTGCAAACTTCACAAGAGTTTAAATTCTGGCCTGTTTGTTCATTCATGATATCTTAAGTAGCAGCTATATTTTAACTGAGGATTTAAAAGGGTTTAAGAGAGAGCGATGTGTTCCTCAGCCTGAACAAGTTCAGCAAAATCAGACTATAAACGTAGACCCTAAAGTTAATTGGGCAGGAGAGATTCCCTGAAAATTCAGTAGGGAGTTTTCATTAAATCTAGGAGGAGGCAAATTATCTCAGTGTGCTGATTAGGGAGAGAGAAGGAGCTAAGAGAAATTAGGTGTCTAGTTAGATATCTAAATATTAAATTAAAGGCCTGGAAAGATGTAATAGTAGCCAGACAGCTTTTATCTCCCACCGGGTTAAATTTTGGACATTTGGGGCAGATTCTAGAACTGAGTGGGATCTCAGTTGGGTTGAAGCATCTAAAGACCTTTCTAATTGCCAGTCGTTATCCTTGTGGTTTTGGTTATTTGCCTATCTCCCAGTTGTGAATGAATCTTTGCTGTGATTTTTAAAAAAAAGAGGTTTGTTTTTGTCAGGGCGACCCCGGAGAAAAAGGATCCCAAGGACCGATTGGTTCTAAAGGAGCACAAGGCCCAGCTGGACCAAAAGTAAGCTTCTTCCTCCAAGGTAACCTTTAGGGTAATCCTAAAGAATCTATGGAATTTTTGTGATGTACACATTTCTCAAACATCTGATGCTTGGAGACTTAACAGGAAAAGCAGAAATATTTCTATCCTCTGTCCTGAATAACACAAAAGTGCCAAGGAGGAAAAGAACAGGTAAAGAGATTATTACAGACCTTATAGTCATGTGTGAGCACTGAGAAGCGAAATTAAAGTTGCCCAAGTGATTCTAACTATGAGCATTTTGCAGATTTTTACTGTGAAATGTTAACTTTCCATTAGAATATTTTGTAAGTGTTGCTCTGACTGATAAGGGAATTATTCCCTTGACTTCTAAGCCGGACACAAAAAATTAAAGTTAAAAAAACAAATACACAGTTCAACCAATAGTTATTTAAAACATGAAAATTTGAACCATCTTTCACAAGAACAATAAGTTGATTTATGTTTTTTCTCAACTATTGTCTGTTTTGTAGATAGATCTATACTGTAGGTATTTTTGTAGATATTTTTTAATTTTAGATAAAGGTTGAAAACACATTTTTCTACTTGTGAAGAAAATGAAACTGTCAGTTTAAATCTGGATGATACTGTTTTGTAACAGGGAGAACCAGGAGAGAGAGGACCACCTGGTGTTGCTGGATCATTGATTCAGGGACCTGCTGGACCAAAGGTGATGATCTGATCTATGTTTGGTGGAGACCAGGGACTGTCAAAATTAAAAGAATATAAGTTTAAGAAGTTGAAATTCTTTGTCACAGTAGCAAAGATGGCTAAATGGGAAAGTGTACCTGAAATGAGTGGGACTTGTCCTGCTGAGTAAAGTAAGCAGATTTAGCAACAGTAGAGCTAACTCCAAAGGTCTTAAAAACATTTGAAAATTCGCTACTACCACATTTTTATTTTAAGAATAAGCAGTTACTGTTTTTTTAATATGTCAGTTCAACTTTAATTGTTGCTTTTCAGCTTTGGTGATAGTTTTTAGGCTAGAGAAGCCACTAATATATATCTTACTGCTCTGAAGTAATTTCATCCCCATTTTTCTTCTTCCTTAAAAATATTTGTGCACGTGTAGATGTTGTACACACAATGTACTCATCAGCCTGGCAACAGGACTTCACGGAGGGCTTGGGTGTAGTTTGGACTTGTTTGTGCGTGGAGGGTGAAGGAAGAAGGGAACCCAAGAATTTCAGGGTACACCTGGAATAAAGATGCAGCCACAAAGAAGAAAGGAAGGAGAGGGTTGTGGGGTGCTCTTATCTCTGATATTGGTTTAAAACCATAATAATGTGCCAAAGTTTGCCAGGAAAATATAGGTGGCATGTTATAAGGCACAACTTGCGTGAAGACAGGTCTCACCACACCAGTCTCCCTTCTTCACATTTTCCTGTCACATTTTTGAATAGAGTAGGTGACTCAAGGTTGTTTAGTGATAAAACTCATGCTGAAAATTAAGAACTTTGTAGACTTTCTTACGTTTTTCACTGTGATTTTATTCTGTTGGGTACAGTTTGTATCACTTGCACAGCAGGCTGGCCATGATCCAAAATCCACTGGATTTTATAGGAGTTTTTCCAAACTCTTTACTAAATTTTAGATCAGGGCTTTTATGTGCAGTGGCTGGTGCAAGAGAACAAGTATTTTTGGGTAATTATAAAATGCAAGCTGATTTTTTAGAAAATGTACAAAATTTTGTCTCTTTAGCTCCATAATAGTTGTTTAAAGAAAGAAATTATCTGCTGTGTTTCTGACCATTGCTCAATAACGTAGCACAGTTCCTGCACAGGTCCTACCCTGGTCCGTTTTCTCTCTCCATTGCAGAAGGTACAACAATTAGCAGTAACTATGTTCTTGGAACATCCTGGTGTCTGTGGTAGTGAAGCCAGACATTATAAATTTCTAATGCAAGGAATCTGCGTGTTTTTCAAAGCTGAGAGTTATCATGGTCTGAAGCCTTTTTAGTACATCTCTAAGTGTTTGATGTAGCACTAGGTGATTGCTAGAGGTCCTAACTCCCAGACAGCTGTGGTTGTATCCACTGGAATGTTATTTATTTTATGCTACACCCACGTTTGGGGTGGTTTATGTCCCCTGACAATCATTATGCCATTACTAATACGGAGGCAGTAACATTAGACAGCGCGTTTTTGGTTTTTTTCTTATATTCCTTTCTCATGGTTACAGCTGCTCGGTGGCTTTGATAGAACATTTGATCTGCATTCCCTAGTGAATGTTTCCTAAAATACCGCCTGTCCTTCTCACTAGTGTTAAAAACTGCAAAAGGTTCACTGAACATTGGAATTTTCTCTTTAAGATCCTTAATGTAAAGTAAAACAATCTGTTGACATAGATTAAACACTAGAAGGAGCCAAATATTGCTTTGTGAAGGGATATCAGGAGGAACTTGAAATTCTAAGCCTGATTGCTTTCCAGGAAAGCTGCTGACAGAGCAGAGGTGACCAAACAGTTGTACTGGGGAATATTTGAGGGAAAAACTCAAGTTTCTTTGTGGGTCATCAGCCTGCAGAGCTTGCAGTTTTGAAGGGCTGCGTTATCTGTAGCCTTTCTAAACACACTTGGTGTCAGCCCTTGCCTTTAAGATGCTTTGCTGTTCTCCCTGTGCTCTGGCAGAAACAGTTATACAGCCTGGTTCGTGTGAGCAAAAGTTAGCAGAAGCCACATGTTAATCTGGCCACTGAAAGTGAGTTATCATGTTCAATCTTCAGTTGAAAACTAAAGCCTTCAAGTTATTCATCAGGGCAGAACAAGCTCCTCGACACAGTTGTGGAGAAGCAGAAGTGTAAGAGAGGTCAGAGTCAAGGTAGTGAAAGGTTCCTCTAGAAATACTGATTTCATATTACCTAGCTCCGTAATTGTCACTGTTAGAAAGAATTGAGTACTTGTTCTTTTCTGTAAATCTTCATAAATTAAAACTGAAAATAATGATTGGATTTGTTTCTTTTTGGATAGGGGGATCCAGGACCCAAGGGACCACCGGGAGATGATGGACTTCCTGGAAATTCAATAATGGGACCAACGGTAAGAGTTTTTAGACAAAAAGTGGAAAATAAAGAAACATGAGACATATGCAAAATTCTTGTGAAAATGCAGAAACAACTCGAACAACTTTTTCTGGAAAGTAACTAACCAATTCTTCAACTTTTTCATCATTTCAGGTTAAGTCTGTTTTAAAAAATAAACTTAGTGTCTTTTCAAAGTAGAAACACAAAATAGGTTAAATAACTAGTCCAGTTTTGTGTGTAGGGTAACCGGGGACTACCTGGGCTACCTGGACCCCGTGGAGCAAAAGGCGATGGCCACAAAGGTGAACCTGTAAGTACCATTTCAATTCTGTACTTTGTGTTCTACCAAAAAAAAGTTAATTACTGTGTGATAACTCAATATTTAGTTACTCAACTGAGTGCAATTAGTCTTTTCTTTCGCGCTTTAGCTCATTTAAATATTTCCTGTATGTTTTGAAGTCCTTTCCTGTCCTAGATGCAGTGCCAGTTCTACAGGTAGTTGGAACCAGATCTAAACTGTTCTTATTTCAGTATCATGAAAGGGATACCATGGAATTCCATGAAAATCTTCATGGCTTCTCATACATGTTGTCTAATCACTACTTTGAATTCTTTTCCTTCCCTTTTTCCCTCTCTCCCTTTTCTTTACTGTTCTTTTTTCAAGATCTCCAGTAACATCTGCTTTTGCCAAACCTTGTAGCCTTCAATTCCTTGGTTTTTTGAAGATTCCTCCCCCTGCCTTGCTTTCCTGATTATTAGCTCCAGAGGGTTTGAGTGTTTCAGTTGGCACATTCCATTACATTATCATCCTAAATTTCAGTTATCCAAAGCTACACAGACGTGTTTGACCGAGCTTTTGCTAGAAAGTGAAAATACTGCTGCCATCCTTCAACCACCACATGTCAAACTTCCATTAGCACTATTTTCTTTATGTCTAATCCAGCTTTATTTCAAGCTACAGCCCCAAAGACACCCCCAAATACACTGAGGTGGAACCTGAGTGCTTCCAAATAAGTCATGTCTTAGCTCCAATTTCCTATCGTTCAGACTGATCCTGGGAAGATCCTTCGGGATCAGAATTAGTTCAGAGGGCATTCACTCAAAATTCCTGGTGCAATTCCATGTGCCTGATGCATTTCACAGTACGTAGGGAAACTAAACCAGCTCAGGACTCCTGGGAGGGTCAGGGAGTGCCACCAGGAGACCTGGACCCATTAAACAGGGGACATGCAAACAAATGAGAAGGCCCTACTGTCATCTGAATGAAAATGAAAAGGCAATGATAAAGAAGTCAGGGATGCAAATAGATGACTGATGAACTTTTAATAGGCCTTAAGATACTAGGCCTACTAGTATTTTAGTAGTGTTTTAGTTTTTAGTATTTTCAGTTTAGTTTTTAGTAGTATTTTAGTTCCTACTCTCATAGGAACTCAAGTTTTAAGCTTTACAAGTTAAGGTATCTGTTTAAACTATATGAAAAAGAAGTATTAGTAGATACAGAATCAATAAGGTCAGTGGGAAGCTGAAAACTTTTCATTTCTAATGAAACAAAGAATTCAAGAGAAGCCTGGTTTGATGACCATTGATTAATAAAACTCTACAAACGCTGGTTGTGGTCTGCCCAGCCACAGGATGGCAAACTTATGTTCTAGAAAGAAGAACAACTTCATCACCCACTGGCAGGGATGGACAAGATTTACGTAGCTGAACTATCTGTAGCATGATGGAGCAGAGACCTGAGGAGGCCTCCAACAGTATGAAGAGCAGCCAAAGGGGCTGTGACAGATTGAGTGGGGGGTTCAGGAGAACAGACTATCCAACACAAACACACCAAAGTATGTCAGGATGACCCAATCTCCAAATTTTGATGGGTTATCTCTGGTGTACCAGCTGGGTAATGTCAGCAGTGCATGATCATGGAGCAATGTCTGCTTTCTCACTGGTTTCTCTGAGCTGGGAACAGCTCTGATGTTCTTAAGAGCTGGACAGCTTTTCCACCACTCTGATAGTCTTTTCAGGTTTCTAGTTGAGGACTGAGGATGACTGTTGGACAGTACACATCAGAAATGTGAACAATTTCACAAAATACAGCAAAACCAAAGAGATGAGTAACTATTGCTTAAATTCTTTTTGTTGATGAAGAAACCAAGTACTCTTCCTTTAGGACAACTACTGACATGCTTTATTCCTCTGCTTTACCAGGGACCTCCAGGACCAGCAGGACCCCCAGGACCGGCAGGCCCAAAAGGCGTGGGAGATGCTGGACCAAAGGTACTTGTAGAAGGGTAGTGTGTGCGTTTGACTAGTAGACAAGGCAGCCAAACTGAGCTGGGAACAGCTCTGATGTTCTTAAGTTAAGAGCTGGACAACTTTTCCATCACTCTGATAGTCTTTTCAGGTTTCTAGTTGAGGACTGAGGATGACTGTTGGACAGTACACATCAGAAATGTGAACAATTTCACAAAATACAGCAAAACCAAAGAGATGAGTAACTATTGCTTAAATTCTTTTTGTTGATGAAGAAACCAAGTACTCTTCCTTTAGGACAACTACTGACATGCTTTATTCCTCTGCTTTACCAGGGACCTCCAGGACCAGCAGGACCCCCAGGACCGGCAGGCCCAAAAGGCGTGGGAGATGCTGGACCAAAGGTACTTGTAGAAGGGTAGTGTGTGCGTTTGACTAGTAGACAAGGCAGCCAAACATCTTCTGAAAAATTAGATTAGAATGGCCTATATATGACAAAATGCTGCCACCTCGTCTCCCCCTTCCCATTTCAGTTAGAAGAAAAGCTTGCAATAGACTTCTCTGCCATGACAGGTACAAAACAGTGCTTGCTCTGTCCCCAGATTGGATGCAGATGTGCAGCTTTTCCGTGCATCCAGAGACCCAGAACGTTTCTAGATGCTGGGATTTCCATGTGGGAGTAAGAACCCAACACAGGCAGAGGATTGCCTAAAAATTACGCACTTTCTTTCTTCTACAGAAGAAGAC